TTTTCTAAAATAACTGTAAAAAATTTTGCAAAATTTGCTTCATAATTTTCATGTTGTTTGAAAATATTATCAAAGAGTATCAATAAATCGTTTATTTTAATTTCATTAAATTCTTTTATATCAATTCGTTTCTGGTTCATGATAAGATTTTCAGTTATACTTTTTGCAGTAATAAATGTAGATGATGATAAATTATTTTCTTCTTGATTCGAAAAAGTTGCTTCAGATGAATCAAGGTTGATTTCATTTAAATGTGTTACGCCAGATGAATATGTATCATTTGTCTGATGGACGAAGTTGGTGAATGCACACCTATTTTTTCGAAAATGATGGCACGAAACTGTTCTATTTTCTGTATGTGCATGTGCATGTACATGCTATACATGTATTCGTTTTACATGTCGTAACCATATTCATTTAACGCCACATTGTAACTACATGTAATTAACGTTTAACACCACTTCGTAATTGTATTTGAAACAAAAAAATCAGCGTCCAACCGCACTTCGAAATTATGTTCATCAAAATTAATATTTACCTTCGTAATTATCTTTTCTCTTTAATAATTCCTGTCAAGATTCTTCCAGTGTTTATTAACATTTTAGTTATAGTTAACAGACGTCGAACAATAGACTAGTGTGTAATTATGTGACCTAATATCTAAATTAAAGCAAATATATTTTCCATTATCAATATTGTTATACAGTATTCAGAAAAAGAGGATTCTTTAAAAATAAATAAATTATTTAAATAAAAAACTATTTAAATCGTAAATATCTTTTAACCCGTAAATTCCCTTAAAAAACGCCACACACCCAATACTCATAACGATATCGGCACAGGCATTTAGATTCATAACGCCTCTTGAACGCCTAATCTCTCCCAAAATTAACCATTACGCAACACCCGTAACTAATAAAATTCACGCAATACTTTTCCTAATTAGGAGAAATTTGTCATAATCTTATTGGCCGAAAATAGTTCGTGTAAATTGAATCATCCAAACGTTAAAATTTACAATGAAAGCAGACTTCACACTCTAATAAGTTGGCAAAGTTCTATGAGAATGCAAAATATGGCGACATTTCGATCAATGTTGGAAGCACTCAAAATAGAACGTTTACAGCGCATTCATCAATACTAGTGGGGGCGCAATCGGAGTATTTTGCTATTGCTCTTTCTGACGCGTGGGTAAAACGAGAACCTAATAAATTGATCGTTTTTAAGAAACCAAATATTGAAACTCGTATTTTTGAAACTTATTAAGATAATTTTTAATTAGAATGTTTTAAATTTATTAAATTGAAATTAATCAGTTTCTACGGTCATAAGATATATGTACAATGGTAAGATCGATTTGTCAGATCATGGAGAAACAACACTTTTAGATTTATTGGTCGCTGCTGATGAATTGATTCTTGAAGATTTGATTGAATATATTCAAGAATATCTTTTGGAGCAACATTCTGAATCCATGATTGAAAATTTTTCTTTTATGAATCAAACCGCTTTTCAACATAATTTCTTTGTCAAACTCCAGGAATTCTGTGTAGAAAAAATCCGGTTGAGCTTTTTCAATCCAATGATTTCGCTAATATTCAAGAATCTTAAAGAGAGTGAAATTTGTGGAAAGATTATTGAATGGGGAATCGCTCAAAAAGCAGCTTCTGACAACGTCGATTTATCGATTCCAATGGATCAATGGTCACAAAACGAATTTAATCAACTCAGCTCTACACTCAAAAATTGTATACCGTTAATTCGTTTCTTTCATATAAAATCTGTTGATTTCTATAACAAAGTGTTGCCATACTCGGAGATATTAACAAAAAAGTTTTATAAAGATAAAGATTTATTGCATTATTATTTGGTACCTGGAAGTGAAAGACAACAAGCGTCACTTCATCCCATTCGTAATTCGCACTACTCAATATCAACAATTCTTTCTCGAAATCAAATTGATAAAACTATTCAATAAGTAAAGAACAAGATAATCAAAAAAATTATCTATTTGAATTTAATCTATTATTACGTGGCAGCCGAGATGGATTTACTGCTAGTGATTTTCACCGTTTATGTGATAACAAAGAACCAAACATTGTTGTTATACGTATCAAAGATTCTAACAAAATTATTGGTGGTTACAATCCCATTGAATGGAAATCTCTTGATAAAATATATAAGGATGAAGCAAAGGGCAGCTTTTTATATAAATTTAATTTTGATGACATTTTGGGATCAAATGGAGTTTTAAGTACTGTAACTATAAATCTGGTAGCGGTGTACGGAACTATTCACCTTGTTTTGGTGGTGGTGTTGACTTAGCTCTGTTTACTTCTTCAGGTAATTATTGCCAAAAATATTCTTATGAGTTTGGCCTTTTAGGTGAAAAATATCAGAAAATATCTTTTGAAATTGATGGTTATGAGGTTTACAAATTGTAAATGATTAAATAATTTTATAAATCTTCATTCGTATATTGATTGAATAAAAATTGAGATTTACAAGCAGATAGAAAATGTTTTCCTATTCTTAGTGTATGAGTTTAACTACAAATCTAGTGAATACGGCATAGTTTTGAAGTAGATGTTCTGATTTATTTACTAGGATTTATCTGCTATTTAGTTCTATAATAACTTCATAATTTTTCAAACTTCGTTTAAGCCATAAGAATATGACTTTAAATTTTTTATCTTTTTATAAAAGCCAACAATTTACGATTACCAAATTGTTCTTAAAATATAAATATAGTTGGCGTTTCTGATCAAGTCGATTTACGCAAGATTCATTATTTACTGTAAAAATCTTAACATAATACATGTAGAATATGTCGATTTTTAAACGAAGAATGGAAATTTTATCAAAACATGAAATGTATTTGATGTTTCAAAACACAAGTATCAAATGAACCGTTTTTCACTCAAATTAAAGTAAATCATAGAGTTATAATTAAAATATAGAAATAGTCAAATTAATGACAGAAAGTTTCATTATTATCCATTTATGAAAATAAATTTTTATAAAATAACATGTACATGTATACAGAACATGGCAATCTGAATCACGTGAAAACATCACCCTTAAAATCGAATGCTAGTATGTAAAATGTTTGTTGGGGAATTAATCCAATAAAAATTCGCAATTTTCAATCAGTCAGATAAATGCACCAACGGTTTTTAGGAAATCCTATTATAATTTATGGCGGCGATTTGCCGAAGTGTTGAATTCTCATGCGTTTAAAGAAGAGGGAGAACGCGCTTATGCATGGAAGTATGATGAGCATGGGTAGTAGTGGAAGTGGAAGTGGTTCTTGGCCAGTTCTAATCAAGTATGTCGAGATCGCTTAATGTTATTAAGATTATTACTCCTTTTTTTTAATTTGCCATGATTAATTAATGTGATTTTTATTATTGTTTGTAGTATTTATTCTAAAATAGAAGAATATTAGTTGGTACTAAAGCAGACTCGTAAAGCAAGAATTAACCGATCGTCGAAAAAGACGATACAGCATTGTTGATGAATATGGAGGTGATTATGTTAACGTGGTAGTGAGAACAAAAATTAATTATATTGTCATTATTTGTTAGATTATCTTCGTTCATATAAAAGAACATGCATTTTTTTCATATCAATAACTCTTTGCATTTTGCACGAGGTTCAATAGCTGCCGGAAAGATTGACGCGTTTTTCGGCAAAGAAATTTCATCATTTACAGAGTCCAGCGTTACCACCACCAGCAGTACACAAGCCGGGAGAGGGTGAGTTCAATCTGAAAGCATGAAAGACATGGTTGATGAATTAGATTTCAGCTGAGTATTTTTTTTGGATCAGGCAGGCCATGAGTTTCAAATAAAATGCAAACTAGATTAGGTAAAAGCGAGAATGGCAAAAGCGAGTAAAATGGATGGGAATAAATGCGCAAGAGCATAATGAGAAACAAACACAATAGCGGCATGAACGAGTGATGTTCCCTCTTCTGATTTTTCTCTCGAAATCATCAATTCCAAATTCCTACACCGCAAATAATTCCCAATTTCTCAAATCTTATTATTCTTCCTTTTGAAGCGTATACAGAAATATATCACTCTCTCAACACTAGTCACGAACGAGTATATATATTATTATTAATCAAATTATAAAGAGGTTTTTATGATTAAACGCTAGAACGAAACGAAACGAAACGCGATTTCATTAATAAGTGACTCTCGCATGGATTTTGGAAGGATTCGAACCCTCATTCCAATTA